TGTACATCAGAAAATGCGCCTTGAGGCATGGAACATATGTACCAAATATGCCAAAGATGTCTACAAAATTATCTCAGTTATTATTAAAAAACTTATTATTTTAGAAAATTTTGCCACCCTGTATCTCAAAAGTTAAGGCGTTTAGGACATACGTCCATAGGACGTTTTTTCCTCAAAATGGGTCTAAGAATTACCTCCTTAAATATTAGCATGTGTTTAAGGAACACCCTGTATAGATATAAAGTTCTTTTGCAAAAAATCATATTTTGTGTCATATTTTAGCAACAATATTCTATGGTACAGGTAGTATCTATGGAACTGATAGAAACGCATTTTTCTGAATAATGTCAGCATTTTAATAGATACAATATTTTTGTTCGAACAATGATTGCTGACCCATACACAACAAACTTTTACTTCAACGGATCATGACCTAAAAATTCAACAAACAAATATTCGATGAGACATGTGATCACCATGTTATAAGAGTATATAAAATGCTTCAGCAAAAAAAATATTGAAAGAAATTGTTTTCATTTCCTTTCCGTAACTGGATGAGTTTTGAAATGGAATCTTTGAATTACTCTATTATGAATTGAAAGTGAATATAGAAAAGTGTTGAAGTCGAAAACATCTGTGAACTCATCAGATATGTTTCTTTCAATCACCTCATTTTTGATAATTCAAATTCTGAAATCAACGAGATCAAAACGAATATATGAATAATTTCACTAACTTGATTAGTTAAGTATTAGTCCTTTGAAGAAGATTATTATGAATTCGAAATGAATACACAATGTTAATTGAATCACTTCAACTACCAAAAACGTTCACACCATATAGGGTGTCCCAGAATCCATTTAACAAGCGATAGTCCCGTTATTTGTGAAGCTAAAGGCGGTATTGAAAGACATCAAAATTCCCTTCTGAGATGACCTTTGAACTTGTTGTAACAATTGTAGTTTCTAAAAAACTACTCCCAACATAGGTTTTTTTAATGGTACCCTCATTTTGTTTGAGTCTTCAAAGCTTAGCAAAGTAGAGAAGAGTTTTGATTTTTTGACTGAGAGACATGATGAATAACAGAACAATGAAATTTTAGTAGAATTTATATTATTTCACAGGAATAGATTGTGAAAATATAATTATTTACATATTATTTTCAATTCTCCGTGATATAATGTAATTTACAAATAGTATAATGAATATTCCTTAAATGTACCAATAAATAATTGATGATCATTATTCGAATACTTTTTCATAGTGATCACTTAATTTTTTTATTACGAATGTTTTTCGTGAATGATGCCCTACACATCCTACAATCTCATTGATTCAGCAGTGACGAAAAACTTGGTTGAAGAGAGATAGAAGAAAGGTGCTTGGGAGAATGATACTCTATTCGTGAGTATTGGGAAACACAAGTGTCCCGTGAAACTTTTTAGTGAAATAATGAGTATTTATTTTCTTTTGGAAAATTTGCTCAGTGTGGAAGGAAGTGACCTCCAACATAATTGTTTTTTCACACAACTTTAAATTTGCCCCCATCAGTTTCTGTCAATATACGAGGTATGGTAAAAAAAGGGGAATGTTCAAATTTTGAGGGCTACGTACATTCGATTAACGATTTTTATTTTTTTTTTATGTTGAAACACTTGTCCAGAATATATGTTCACAGTTTCAGCTGTTTAGCATGTTCAGTTTGTTAGTGATAGGCATAAAAGATAGAAGTGTTTTGCGTATTCAGCGATTTTCTGCTATCGAAAAAATGGATCATTGAATTCGTATCCAATTTTGTGTAAAACATGAAATGGAGTGCTCAAAAACAGTGGCGTAGGGTGATTGTACTCTGAATCGAAACACTTTTCACTAGTGGTACTAGTTTTTCACAGAATGTCGAAATGTGAATGACGACGCTCGCACTGGACACCCCAGCACATCAACAATCGATGAAAATGTTGAGAAATTGAAGAAAATTGTTATGAAGAATCGTAGAATCACTATTAGAGAAGTTGCTGAGTATGTTGGTATATCGGTTGGCTCATGCCATGTAATTTTGGGCATGAAGTGTGTGGTAACATTTGTTATGTTTTAATAAATTTTTTTGTTTCAATGTTTTTGTACAGTCTAATCTAGCGTCCCCTGTATTTCGACATGCCTATCACTGTTGATTATACATACTACGTTGTGTAATTGTATGTGCCACATTGTGCTCGACGTGTCGCATTACAAAGTCCTCTAGACTATAGAGGGTCATAGGCAGTACTCTACAATCCACCAAATTCGATAATCCGACATCATTCTGCAAAACGGTTGTTAGATTCAACAAAAGCTCTCATAAACGCTTTCGAAGAAGCTCTTTTCCTGTTTGGTTCAGTCCTGAACTCAAGAAGAAAAGGTTTCATGAAAGTTATAAGAGTTGGGTCGCATTGATCTCAATATGTTTCGTAACTTACGCACTCAGTGAGACAGGTTTACCCGTATTTTTTGCTAATTATATGAATAATTCAGAAAAAAGTATTAATAATACAATAATTTATAAAAGTATCAATTGGTTCTAAGAAGGAATTATGGTAATGCTAATTAGTAAAACAAACAGTTTTGAGGAATTTCTCTAATTTTTACTACTTGTTTTGATTTCATTGTCAATTTTTAATTTTATTTACACACTGTACTGAAGTAATAGCCTTCAAAACATATATTTCTATTTTCAATATCTTTCACTTTTTATTTTACATGAACTGTTTGAAAAAATGAGGTGAATGTCCAAATTTTGAAATTTTTATGTAAGTATACTCGTCCTGTACACCAAATATTTTATGTAAAAAATGGAATTAAATGTTCAAAAACACTTGAAATGTTGACAGTGACATACGGTGGTTTTACTCTGAGTCAGAAAAATGTTTATGAGTGGTACAAGCTTTTCATAGAAGGTCAACAAGATGTAAATGACGACGCTCGCCCTGAACGCCCAAGCGCATCAACAACCGATGAAAATGTTGAGTGAAAAAAAAGTGAAAAAGATTGTTATGGAGAATCGAATAATCACTTTCAAAGTTGCTGGGAATGTCGGCATATCGGTTGGCTCATGCTATGCAATTTTGGGCATGAAGTGTGAGGCAGCAGAGTTCGTTCCAAAAGTTGCTGAAATGTAACCAAAAAACTGTCGCATGAGCATCGTTCAGGAATTGTTGAATCAACGGCAATTCAGGTTTGCTCGAAAGAATCATGGGTATATGGTTCATGGATATATGGTTATGACATCGAAATCGAAGTCCAATCATCCCAATGAAAGAGCCCAGAAGAGCCAAGACAAAGAAGGCCCACTAAGTTCGATCAAATATCAATGTTTTGCTCACTGTTTTCTTCGATTATCATGGCGTAGTGCACCACGAGATCTTGTCACATGATCGTACGGTCAATAACGAGTATTATGCTCTGTTTGCGAGAAGTAATATGAAGAAAACGTTCGGTATTGTGTAAAAACAATTAATGGCAATGGCTTTTGCATCCCGATAATGCATCGAATCACTGAGAGAGCTCTAGGACGTGCCATAAAGTGCTTTAAGGATTGGAAAAAACGCTGAGGAGGACTACTTTGAAGGTAAGGAATTGATGAATGAATAGATATTTTTTGAGAAAACTGAAAATTTACCTTATTTTTTTGATCTCTTAGGGCACAAACTGTTGGTGTGGTAGACTCGATTCCAAGAAATAACTGTATCAGCTAATAAATAATTATCTGTTTTCAATATTTTGATTATTGAATAAAAATACTCGTGATAAAATGAGATCCTCTGCTTTATACTTATATTGTATGTTGGTTGGAATAAATAAAAAGCTATCAATATCTGCTTTCAGAGTCCAAAACTGTCTTAGACATACTTCGAAGAACGCCCATATAATGAGTGAATATTGCTCAAAATCGAATAAATCGTTATGATTTTTGGATGCTATGCTACGAAAACTGCGAACAGTGTTCAGTATGAAGAGTTGAAGTCAGAATGAGGATTCAGTATAGTTCATCTTCTGATGAAGCTAACTAGATTCATGAAAAGTGCGTCGGGAAGATACTGTATATTTTTCTGTTTCATTGTACCAAATGGGTGTAGGGCAGAATATTTGCAATTGGTATTTCTTGCACCAAACAGGTGCAGTATAATTGATATACTGCAATGCTCCTGCATTAATTCACAAAAAGTGTGATATAGGT